TTTTCTCGAATCGCATCTAAAATCATTTCGATCGAGTTGTAGTAGCCCGGATTCAATTTCAGTTCTCCGTGATCTCTCATATTGGGTGAGGCATCGTAAAAGATCCTATTTTCGTCATGTACGACGTTGTACCACGAATTTGGGTAGTGGATGTCGGCCAATGCTACTTCCCCATCGCCATCTAGCGAAAGCGTTCTCGGTAGTTTGACAGTGTATTTTGTCAATGTGTTGTTCGGGAACACATCGATCGAGGCATTACTAGGGAGCGTCAAAAAGAAATCCTTTCCAGATATGATGATCTTTTGAAATGAATCGGTTCATCGTGTGTGTGAACGGTATTTATAAACGTTGCAAGTCCCTGATCCAAGAATTAAACGAATCATCACACCCACGCCACTTAACGAAATATTCCATGTGACCTTTACGTTTTCTCTTGCGCAGCACTTTCTCCACAATGTACAATGCATCGTCGTCTTTTACTATTTTCTGAAGTTCTTCTTCGTAGAAAGTACCTTCCAACATTTCGCCGTTGTAATCTGAAATTTTGTAAACAGGTGGTTGTGTGTTGAGACGTCCAACAATCGTGAATACCTCTTCGGTCCAATTGGGTAGGTAACCTTTCTTGAAAACGTGTTTGGTTTTACTGATTCTGACTCTGTCACCGAGTTTATAAATCTTCCTCTTCTTCAACCCCTTTTTCTCTGTGTTTAGATCACCGTACAATATGTCTCTGACCTTTTTCTGGTTTGCGTAGGTAACATGTGAGGGTTTGGTATTTATACTTCTGTGATGGGTATTGTTGTAAGAATGTACCATGTCGTCTAATACAGGTAGATAAGTCAACGTGTTGTTCTTCTGAACATTTTTCCCTTAATGGTTCTGTTGTATCTCTCCACAATGCTGGCTTTAGTCTCATTGCCTGTTGTAAAGAACTTAATGTCTTCGCTCTTGAGGTAGTTCTGAAAAAGTCTGTTGGTGAATTCAGTTTCTCTGTCCGTAAGCAAAACGTCAGGGCGACGCCCCTTCCCGAGTATTTTCCGAAATGCCTCGACCAAACTCGCCCCTCTCTTGTCTTTCAGAGGTACGACGAAAGCATATTTAGAAAAAACATCGATACACGTCAATAAGAACTTGTATCCACTGTTGTATCTGGATATCGAGGAGAGATCGCATAGATCAGCCTCCCACTGCTCGTCCACTTGGGAAAACCACCACCCTCCTTCTTTTAAAGGACCGTCTAGAAAGTTTGTGCAGAGTATATGTATCCTGTTTACTCAACCACTTCTTCACGTCCGACTTGGTTATCTTTTTTCCTCTCTTTGTTTTTTTTACGGCAGC